TTTATCACCTATACAAAATTCTGTACAGTTTTTATACTGAAGCTAATATTGAGCTGCACTTGAATTCACATTCTTAGCTAACAATTGCCTGAGCACACACGCATACTCCACACGTAAGACAGCCATTTATTCTTCATCTTCATCCTCTTCCTCCTCATCTTCATCTTCTTCTTCCTCTTCCTCCTCCTCATCTTCTGGTTCACTCTTCTTCTTTGAGCCTGTTAGTCTGCCAGGACCTTTCTTCCCTGCTTCACTTTTGCCCTTGGCACGATATGCAGCAATATCCTTCTCATATTTCTCTTTTAGCTTGGCTGCTTTCTGTTCATAGGGTTGTTTATCTTTGGCTGATTGTTCATACCACATTTCACCCAACTTCTTTGCAGTATCCCCAATGGACAGCCCTGGGTGTTCACTTTTGATCTTTGGACGATGTTCAGAACAAAACAGGAAGAAGGCAGACGGTGGCCTTTTGGGAGCATTTGGATCTTTTTTCTTTCCTTTCTTATCCCCTTTGGGAGGCACATAATTTTTCATCTCCCTGTCATAGCGTGCTTTGTCAGTTTTTGCCATATCTTCAAACTTCGACTTTTCCTTTGCAGACATGGTCTTCCATCTCTCAGAGCACTTCTTGGAGAACTCGGCGAAGTTGACTGACGAGTCGGGATGTTTCTTCTTGTGCTCCTCTCCGCAGGTCTGCACGAAGAAGGCGTACGAGGACATTTTGCCCCTCGGTTTGTTGGGGTCTCCTTTGCCCATCCTGAGACTCGGTGCCTGCTGTGAACCAAGGAGCTTTTCCTGAGAGTCCCACGAAGCGACCGGACCCGACCGGGACCCGTCCTTCCAAGGGCTCCGGTGTGAACTGGTTTATCCTATTTCCAATTTTTTGAGAAAGCACCACACCACGTTCCACAACGGTTGCACTATCTTACATTCCCACCAACAGTGAATAAGAGTTCCAGTTTCTCCACATCCTCGCCAGCATTTGTTGCTTGCTGTTCTGTTATATTTTGCTATTCTTACTGGGGTGAGATGATATCTCATAGTTGTTTTGATTTGCATCTCTCTTGGAGCTAGGGACTTTGAACATTTCTTCATGTGCTTGATGGCCATCTGAATCAGTTAACTATTTTCACTACTATCTTACATGCTTATTTTATTTCTTCATCTTCAGATATATATATTCCATATATATTATATATCACATATGAATATATATGTATATTGTATATATATATGTGTGTGTGTGTGTGTATATATATTGTTGTTGTTGTTGTGTGCTGTCTAGCCATTTGCGACTCATAGCAACACTATGTACAAAACCTCTGAAGCCTGCCCTAAGCCAGTCTCACTGACTTCGACACACCTACCCTCGCCCAAGTCCTAGTTACCATATCAATCAATCTCATCCAGGTTCATCTTCTCCTGCACTGTCCCTCTACTTTTCCAAGCAGGACATCCTTCTCCAAGATTCAATCCCTTCTAGCCACGTGCTCAAAGCATGTGAGATGGAGCTTCAAAATCCTAACCTCCAAAGGGAAAGAGGGTTTCACCCTCTAAGGCAGACCCATTTGCTTTCTTGGCAGTCCATGCTATGTTCAAGACTCTTTTCCAGCACCACAACTCAAAGACATCAATTCCTCTTCTGTCATCCTTAGACACTGTCCTGCTTTCTGATGTATAGCAAGTAACTGTGAAGACCATGGCCTGAATCAGGTGCACCTTAGTCTCTAGACTGACATTGTCGCCTCTCAGTCCTCTGGAGAGGTCTCTGACAACAGATTTACTTTCGATTTCTCGACTGCTGGTGCCAACAGTGTTAATGTTATATATAGCCTCTCGTGCTTATTTTTCCTAAAATTCCAGTCCTACTGTTACTAATTGTAATCTTAATCATTATAGGTTGCATTCACGTGTTTTTAATTTGAGGTTCTGGGTTCATCTTCAACAGGGCTTTGCCTATGGCAATCTTATGTCTCTGTAGATAATTCTCCAGTGGCTTCATTCATATCCCCAGAAGGTATTTCAGCCCTGGGACTAACATGCATTGTATTCACATGACTTAAGGATATCTGAAATAAACAGACCATATAGATCTTATGTCTTAACATATGTGATTTTTAAGTCTATGGCTGTGAATTCTCCTAGGAGATTTTTTTTTCCTCTTCCCCATCCACAGTCCAGGCATTGTTCCAATAGCCTTACAAGCAAGCCACTGTATATACTATTTCAGTAACCACATTCACTAGGTAATTATACTTACAGGAGAAAAAAACTAAGACTCATAAAGGCTATATAATGTAATACACAACTTGTTAAGTAAAAGACTTGAAATTCTCTGATCTGCATGCAAATTTTTATAAACTAATTTCACAGTATACAATTGAGTTTCGTTGTTGTCACTCCTAAAGGCAGTAAGAAGTAAATGAAAGATTTTGCTTTCCCTGATTTCACGAACAAGTATGAAAGCTAGTCTTAGGAAATATTGAGAACTAGAAAGCAAGCAACAAAGAATTCATTACCATCAAATCAGAACCAACTCATAGCTGACCTCCCACAGTTTTATGGAGGCTACAAATCACACAGATTATCCATGTTTCTTCCAAGGAGCAGCTGGTGGATTCAAACTGCCTGCCTTTGGATTGTCAGCACAGTCCTCACTCACGAGGCCACTAGAATTCCCTGGGAATTACACAAAACACTCATTATCTGCCAGGTGCATATGCACAAAGTCATAGAGATGCTCCAAGAAATGTCTTTAAATCATTTATAAGCTTGATGAGGTTCCACCTTTTTACTCTCTTGCGGAATTTGTCAAATTCCATGTAATAATTCTGAAAGAGAATTGAAAAGAGTTACTCTAAGAGAGATCTGGCAACCACCATCCTCCGAACTGTCAGACGGTTGGCTAAGGATTCATGCTCTAATGCCAATTAGGCGGCCTTGCTGAATTCCTAGGTCTTTCCAATTCATTAATTTTGAACACCATCTTTTTACTTCAAAAACAAACACTCACTCCTGTATCTACTATATTAGTTAAGAAGGCATGATTTTATCAAGACAAACACTCTGACAGTCATTGGATGATAAGAGGAATTTCTCATCTTGCCTGGAAATAAAAGGTAGTATTCCCCTCGGGAGTTTTGGATTTTATGAAATGCTTAGCTGTAAGGGACATGTATTTCTGATTAAAGCAGTGTCCACTCTGAAATTTAACTCAAACTGTATTAATTGATTCCCAAAAATCCATATTCTTTCCACTACATCTCAATACAATCAGAGACTTACAGATATAACACAGAGTACATTTTCTTATTGGTGGCAAAGATGAGAGCATACAGGGGCGATCTATATTCTTGCACTTGGTCTCCTCCCATCATATTCTACTACCTTCACTACCTTCACTACCTCCAACACTTCACCATGCGTATGATTTACTATGCAAAAACACATTTGTGGAAGGATTACCCTTGATAACAGAATAAATATTATAAACTGTAAGCAAATATATCATAATGGATTATGTGAGCTTCATGAAAACATATGTATCTGAAAGAAGAGTGACACAGTTTATGAAACATTGTACTTGACACCTTACATCACATTGAGAAAGCAGGAAGTTGAAACTCTGCTGGTGGGAAAATATTGGAAAACTAAATGTAGCTGCCACCTATACAAAGGCAAATTCTTTTGCCAAATCAAGAAGATGTTTTTCACTAGAGACAAACAGATCATTTTACATTCCAAAAATAGTAAATTCAGGCATCATTGCATATTTCCTTACCCATGAATAAAAGACAAAAGAACTGTGCAGCCAATTGCTGAAATACCTGAAGAACTGGTAGCACAGCCGCAACCGAAGACCTGTCAGGTGTCTAAGCAGAAGAATAAATACAGTAAAGCATTTTTTCTATGAGATTAACCATCAGTGAAAGGATCCTCACAGAGTGAAATATATATATATAGTACTTTTCCCTTAAATAAATGAACATGAGAAGGGTTAATAGGGCTGGGCTGCCAGGTCAATGAACTAGCCCAGTGTGTTTAAAAAATACCCCAAAAACTTGCATGCTAGTGCTTAAGAAAATACTTCCCGAGAGAGAGAGCAGACAACAAACATAAAAGATGTGTGTGATCCATGGGAAACAAAAAAAACAACACAAAACCAACCACAGTCATTTGTTGTTTCATACTTCTGAATTCTCAAGATCAAGAAGGAGGTCAGATCAGCATAATCTAGGCAGATTCTGAGCAAAATGTCCAGGAGGTATGTTGACGGCTGGGCATTCAAGGTAGGAACCGAGCCCTAAGAATGTTTCTGCACCTGCTGAACCAACCGGGGGGAGGGGAGGGCGCGAAAATCAAGAAGAATTGGAGCTGCCAGCCTTGCCTTGCTTCTGCTCTTCTTTTTACCTTACCCTCCAGAAAAGAAGCCAGGAAGCATCTGCTGATCAAGACTGAATAGAGCTCAAGTCTACAAAAAAAAAAAAAATAGTGTCTATAGAGTCATAACTGTCTTATTTCTAGGGTAATGGTCATGAAAAGAAGCTTGAAGCTCAGACAACACCAGTTTTGAACCCCAGCTCCACTACTTACTAGCTGCACAACCTTGGGCAGATTACTTAAATTCTCTGTGTCTTGCTTTCTTCTGCTATCTGAAATGGTCTGATTGCATACCCTGCACAGTTGTAGTAAAGAAAAGGGCAGCATATGAAAGCTGTCATTAATTTCAAGGTGGTCCTTGTTCCTGGCTTTCCATGTGCACGATGGCTGACCTGACTACCTCAGTAGAAATATTCAGATCACATCTGATACAGTAAAACATCTAACTTACAAAAGGCAAAAAAGAAATAAATGCCATTGGCTCCTAATCAGTGTCTCTTCCTTGTTTTCATGGAAACCATTAGAGAAGAATAAAAAAACTCTAGATTCATAGCAGGAAAGCAAGGTCACAAAACTTACCAGGGCAGTAGTCTGACCAGAATGGTTAGCCTCCCCTTGTATTTTCTTCTACAGTCACTGAATAATTTTTACTTAGCTTTGTTAAGCTACTTAAAATCTCAGCAATTAGTGATTCTCAAGTATCCACTTTAGAAAATGCAAATTCTCCTCTGAGGTTAGGGTTATGCTCACAATTATGCATCATTCACAATTATGAGAAGTAATTCAATCAAAATGCTTTCCTCAAATGAAAACTGAGGAAGAACCAAAGATAAAGAAAGTGCTAGAATGCCTCAGAGCTCTTTCACAGTAGTCTAGGTAGGGGTAAAAAAGGGCCTTACAGGGAAATATGGCTAAACTATAGTGCTGAAAATATGATAGAATAATGTGAAACCAAAACTAGCTTATTTAAAACTTATCCACCGGATATCTTTCAGGTGTCCAAGAAAGAGAAGGAATTCTCCTTTTCTCTTCTACACTTTTTGGGGTTTTTTTCAAAGAAACAAAATGTAACCTTACTTTATTACAAAGTAAAGGTTTAATACAGGTTAAAGAGGATTTCTGTGAACCAGCTAGAAATCTTAACCTGTTTATTAGTTTTTCAGCAAGGAAAAAGAGTTCTAAGTTACCTATAATTTAATTATATGACACTTAGAAATCAGAACTAGTATCTGGATTTTTAAAATTCAAGTTGTATGACACTAAGTGGAGAGACGAATAAATGGATGGATTAGAAGCCTTCTTGATCAGCCAATACAATGCAGCAGCAACATCAAATTCTTTTCCCAAATTCGTAACAATTTCTTTTAAATGATGCT